GGAAGCCTGCTTCTCCCTCTCCCACTCCCCCTGCTTGTGTTCCCTCTCTCGCTGTGTCTCTCTCTGTCAAATAAGTAAATGAATAAAATCTTAAAAAAAAAAAAAAAGCGTCCTATTGAATAGCATCGTGCCTGCTAAAACTATAGACTCCTCACAGCAAGCAAGGATTGAGTGTGACTCTTGTCCACAACTCATTGGATGACTATGTATGCTTTTTAGAATCTTTATTTTTAAAAGTTAATATTTATAGACCAACTAGGAAATCATTAAAATGCATGAAATATTGTTCACAAAAGCTGCAATACACATCTTGTACCGTCAAGGTAAAGGATGGGACACACCAGATAGAGCATTTTAAATGGTTTTCCTTTAGAGATAGATAATATGACTTTAAATAGGATTTAAATTTAGGCATTACGTTATTTATTAAAATGTTAAAGTCTCAAGAAAATGTTTTACGCTAATAGGTGAAAAAGCAAGATAGGGTTTTATATGCACAATCTCAATTATGTGCAAAATAAGCAGTCCTCACCTTGCACAATTCTATTATGCATGACTCTCCGTTACCATGTGTTAGTTAAATAACACGTGTCCCTCAACAACACTGTTCAAATTTGAGTCATCACACTGTATTAGCTGCAAATAATTCCATAAAGTACAAACTTGCTTCTGACTCTTCCGTTCACAAATCACTACATAAATCTCACGTCATCATCTCACCGATCCTTTCAAAGTCTGTCGGTGCCTGATAACTGTTAACTCTTGTTCAGTTCACTTACAGACAGCAAAATACATGGTCCTGTTGCCTCCCTGTGACATTGGAATGTAGACGGCTGTACTCCTTTCATTTGCTTTTTAAATGGTTTCCAATGTTTCATAATAGGTATGTGTCATGAGCATGGGGTATCAGCAGCTACCCTCTAGCAGTGCTAGAGACAATGTGGGGTTTAGACCCAGAAAACGGTCTCTACCAATTTTGCTTCCTTCACTTACACACTTGGAGCAAGTCATTTACTTTCTCCGACCTTCAGTTTCCTCATCTGTAAAAATGGAATAGCAATACATACCCTTGCAGGGAAAGAATTCTTCTATAGACACTCAATTCTTCCCAGGCTCTAGGCATCAGTGGAAGAGTTCCTGGTTATTTGTTTGTTTGCTTACTTATTTATTTATTTAGGTGGGAGTGTAAATGGGGGAGTGCGGGGAGGAAAGTCTTACTGGTTCTTCTGATTTTATGGTATATCAAATGGAAAGGTTTTTTAAAAACTTATTTTAGTATGTTCCTTGAGGAGTAGAAAATGTTGGTATGGAAGAAAAGAATGAGGAATTCTATTTGGTTTGGGGTAAAAATTAGCAATAGCATCTACATTTTTAAAAGTGAAATTGCATAACTTTATACAGCAATTTAGAATGGCAGAGGCAAGTGAAAATAACATTAAGTTGCAGTATATACAATCACCAAAAAGTCTGGATTACAGATGCTTCTAAGTAGATTTTGCTGTCCTCCAGAAAATTTCACGCAAAGTCCCAAAGCAACAAAAGTCAAGTTACAAGTAATTTCTATCCTGGTGGTATAATTTCCCATTACTAATAAAGAGAAAGATTCCAGGCTCAGTTTTATTCAGTCTGTCCTAAAAAAGACCTTTGAAATCCTGTGTGGTGACACCTTTCTAGGATTCTTTAAATCTTTTCTAGCTTGTTAGATTATGGACAGCATAAAAAGTTCTTGAGATAATGATACCAGAATTGCTAGCTGCCAATGACTAGAGAAAATACTGTAACTGTACGTTGTTGCCATTATAAATGAATGATTTTACCTTAGTTACAAAAAAGTGGAAACTTTACAGCTATATAGTTTTATAAAAAGTACACACTTATATACAGTTTCAGATAAGGTTATATATAACCTTAGTTGGGTCCTGTAACAATTACTATATAGTCTAAAGTTTAGGACCAATAAAATATAGAACAACCTCTCATTAACCCCAATGAGAAGACCTAGCAAAAGGGTTTTGGCTAAATTAAATATATAAAATATTAGGTACAGAAATGAAAAGTTATGAGTCTACATTAACTTAGATACAATCTCACTTAAAATTTCATATTCTATAATATCTGTTTTTAAATTATAGTTTTATTCTATTCTCACAAAAAATAAAACAACTTTATTCCAACTCTTTATCTTGTATTGTTGACATTAACATTTTTATCATCATGAGAATCTCTTTTTGAATCATATGACATAGTTCTCTGGTACACGTGATCGTTAAGTCTAACTAAAATTCTAGTTAGTGACATTGTCTTTGTACATTTTATAGCAAAACATAAGTGTTTTTATATATCAAGTAGTTTTTTATTTGTGATCTCCACAAGTAACCACATACTGTAATTCTTTTTTAAAGTCATCTTCAAAAGATTTCAAAACATATGCCCAAGAATTGTTTGTAAATCTCTGCCTTCTTTGTAAATGATTCTGTGAAGACTACCTTATAAGGACACCAAACTATCATAGATTTAACTCATTTCAGGCTAATGTGTCTTCTGCAAACAATTTATTATGCAGAATAAAGCAACCAAGAGAGGGTATCCTGGAATAGGAGAACATTTTAAGGATTCAAGTATGAGGCAATTTTTTTTTCCTGGGGAATCTTTTTTGGGTAAAACTAGACATACAAGGGTGTTTTAGTTAATCTTGCCCAGTTCTATCTCCCTCCACACACATCATCTACTTCAAGGCTCCCTACCCGTCTCAAGTTCAAGTTCACTGCCAATAAATCCCTCGTTCCCAACATACTATCTTCCTTTCACAGAGAAAAGAAAATCCTTTAAGGAGGGAATGCTTTCATTTCACCCTCCTTTCTCAAGCCAATTATTTTTTTCTACTCCTTCACCCGTTCTTATCTTTTTCCACTTTATCTTAGCTTAGTCCTGCCTAAACCTCCTTCCATGTGTACCTTACATCCAACTCTCCCCCATAGATCTTGTCCATCAGCTTCCTCCCTCTTGATGAGAGCACATATAAAACCTCTCCTAGCGCTCCCGTCTCCAGACCTCCCCAAACATAAGTTTTCCCTCAGGCTGCTATGCTTTAACATCTCTCTCCATTGGTCAAACTTGTTGAGAATAGTCTAATTCAATTCTTTAAATTTTTATTATGAAAATTAACACACACACACACACACACAAAAGTGGGACTACAATGAATCCCAAATCACTTGATTTCAACAACCATTAATTTTTTTTTTTACCACACTTGTTTCATCCATACAGCCCCCTTTTTGTTGCTGAAGTGTTTTAATATATTGTCCTCGGATAGAGGACGTACCAGATATTAAACTGATAAGAACAGATACTACACTTGATCTTAGCCAAAAGGGCGAGAAGTGATGTGTTGCTGAAGTATTTTAAAACAAATCCTAGATAATCAGTTCTCACCCTTTAGTTCTTCAGTGTCAAAATCAAAAAAGGACATTTATTTACACAACCACATGCCATTATCACACCTTATAAGACTAAGAATAGTTACTTAGTATCACATAATATTCAGTTGATATTCAAATATGCCCAGTATCCTAACAAGTATCTAACGCGTGAAGGCGGGGGGTGTTCCAATGAGTATCCACTTAAGATCTTCTCATTATAACCAGTTATCTCTTACTTCTTTTTTTAAACTTATTATCCACACCAGTAATTTCAGTTTTTCTTTTTTTCCCTCAACTATCTTTTTGAATAGAACTGGATCAACTGTCCTATAGAATGTCCTACATCCTAGTGGTTACTACAAATTGCTTCCTCTATTCACTGTGTATACTCTAAACTGGACTTTAGATCAGATTAAAGGTTGTTCTGTCTTAAATATATGATTTCACTCATATGTGGAATTTAAGAAACAAAAATATGAATAGAGGAGAAGGCAGGGAAAAATAAAATAAGAAGAAAACAGAGAGGGAGACAAAACAGAAGACTTAACTCTAGGAAACAAACTGAGGGTTGCTGGGGGGGATGTGGATGGCGGAGATGGGGTGACTGGATGATGGGCATGAAGGAGGGCACGTGATGTAATGGGCACTGGATGTTATATCCAACTGATGGATCACTAAATTCTACCTCTGAAACTAAAAACAAACCAAAAAAAAAAGGCTCTTCTGTCCTGTACTGTGTTATATTGTATTTTGGAGGGTGGTGGGCAATAATTCCCTATAGTTATTTCACAGTGTATTTCATTGGCTACACAACAGAAGACACAAAACGTCTGACTGTCTAACTTCCAGGAACTCTGAGACTGCTCAGAGGTTCAGGTGGGGCATCTGAGCCCTTCCTGCAGACTGCCCCTCTGGCCTCAGCCCCCACTCTCCCCCGCCAGGGACTGTAGGGGCAGGGGGTCTGCATGCCACAACCCCAGGCCCCCTTGTTGGCCAGCTTCCGGGGAGGTTCTGCCTATGGGAGGCAGCATCAAGAGATGAGAAGGCAGTAAAGAGGAGGCTATGCTTCCTCCTTTGGGGCTGGGGTGATGGCTGCAGCAGCAGAAGCAGGATGGAGCAGCAGGAGGTGGGGAGTGGGCGGAGGCTCCAGCCCTGACAGAGACGCCACTGCTGGGTGCGGGGGGGGGCCGATTCCAACAGCGCTGCAGCAGGTGCGGCCAACGTCAACTCAGCTCGTCAGCTCCTCAAACCCCACCTCCCTTGATGCTTCTCCCATCTCCTTTCTTTTGTTCTCTCAGCCCCTGTCAGCACTTTTGACCAGTTCTTTGTACTGAATTCCCTCTATCTGAATTACCAAGTGCGTCCCTGGTTGGGTGCTGGCTGGTACACCTTCCACATCAAGTGCCCCATCCACATGTCACTGAAGGACATGCCTGAACCAGCTGTTTCAAAATGGTGATTTCTAATTCTATTCATTCTACAGTTATTAGCTAGAATTTTTTTTGACGAAAATAACTTTTGCCTCACCCCCTTGAGCTATTTGGTAAGGAAACAAAACCAAACACTTTGCTGGCGAAGCCAAACTGTCTATTGGCCAGATTCAGCTTGAAGGCCATGTTTGCAAGGCTGGTCTGTAGCATAAAGGGCATAATCCTTAGCATGTTACCCAAGGCTCTTCAGGATCTTATCACAGCCTGCCTTAACTCCCACTGATACATCTTCCTTAATCTCAAACGTCCATACTCCAGGATACACTCATATTTCCAAAAATCTAGTGTGCTCCTTTCTGGCCTTTCTGCCTTCTTAAGCAATTCTATTTGTCAGGCATTCCCTTTCTCCTTTAATCTGCTTTAAGAGTGTCTACTTACACCTTTACACTCAGCTCAATTATTACTTTCTTTATATCTTGCAGGTAGAGTGAAAGACTTCACCCTCTACGTGTTCTCATACTGCCCTCCCCATACCAATATGAAACACGAGCTTCCTGGCTGTGATTTGTTTTTTAGCAGTTGTATCACCCACTGAACATAAAGATCTGAAAGGCCGGGTCCATTCCACAGCATCTTGCTTGAAAAATAACGTCATGTTGGCTCATCATCATGTGCTCGCATCTCCCAGGCTACATCCAACAGGAGATTGTAAGCAGAAGTGGAGAATGGGACTTCATACACTAAGGAACACAAGAACTAGATTATTAAGAAATAATCTAGTAGGCTTCTCTCAGAGGAAGTGGATTTCATGGAGAATAGATACAACAATAGTAACATGGAAAAGGTGGATTTTATTAGGCAGACAACCTACAAAATTGGGGAAAGTTATAAGCTATACTTTGTCACAGCTCAGAACTACCTGTAGTTCTAAGTAGTTCTTTCTATACAGCTCACTCATCAGAATGAATATGGTCACTAATACAGTAATATAATTGGGCAGAAAAAATAAAATAGAAAAATGAAAGAACAGCTATTTTCAAACTTATCAGACAGTCCTTACCTTTTTGTAATCATGCCAAAGACAGATTTTAAATAATCTTCATTTCTCTAAAAATGAGAAAAATATTTTACTGAAATTAAGCATGCCTCATAGTTTTGCTACTACATGGTTGCTATATATAATTCTAGTTTAGGTATGGAATGTCATTGCTTCCTAAGAATTTTTTTTTCCACTGTCTATAAAAGAATTTAAAATACCCATGTGTCTAAAAGACCTGACTTGAATACTGAAAAGATTTCATTCTTCCTTTGTCACAGTACAAAATATCACTACACATTATTTACACTTAAAAATTAGTATGCAAAAACCCATGTATCTAAAACAGTTTTGTCCTAAAAATGGGATGGTTTATTTCTAAGAACTGCGCTTTTTGAAAATGTCTTCATTTTATGAGTATCATAGAATAATAAACGTACTTCAAAATTAGACCACAGTTTTCCAGATGGTATTACTCAGCTTGCTTCCCAAATTTTCTTCCATCAACAAACCTTGTGTGCCTACTCTTTATCAAATTCTGTGCTAGATTAGATGACAGATTCATTTGTAAGTAGCTTTTGGTAGTACATTCCCAGATGTTTTATTTATTTATTTATTTATTTTCACAAAAGTGATAGTATTTACACAATATTGCCTCAGGGCCCCAAGCATTCCTAATATAAAATTCTGAAAAATTTTGAATAATGACAGTTCTATTGTCAAATCTGAGTACTCTGAAATGTATACAGACTGCTTATTTTAAAATATCCATCATGATGCAGATAACTCTATGACAGTACTTAAGGTTCTTAAGATAGCCATAAATTGAATCATCAGCTATTTGTTACACAGAAATATTTTATATTTTAAATATAGTACTAAAGTTACACTTCTTAAGCAATCTACATTCCATTTTAAAATTTGTCCCTAATATTTTATTACTGGTCTAAACATTTTAGGCAGATGTGCACTGTGTCAGCAGCAAAGAAATAAAGATTATAATATGTAACGTACAGAAATGCAACAAAACATTTCGGAGATTATGTATATGCTTTCAATATTAAGAAATTAAACTTGGAGAGAATGACTGTTTAATCTTTTATGTTTTCCTCTTAGTTCTTTTATTGCTTATTTTGTTTTTTGAGTTTTTTCTGCATTCAAAGACAGGTTTATTATAGAAAATTCAAATAAAGAAAAGAATATAGAAAGGACAGGGGTGCCTGGGTGGCTCAGTCATTAAGTGTCTGCCTTCGGCTCAGGTCATGATCCCAGGGTCCTGGGATCAAGCCCCGCATCAGGCTCCCAGCTCAGCGGGAAGCCTGCTTCTCCCTCTCCCTCTCCCCCTGCTTGTGTTCCTGCTCTTGTTGTGTCTCTCTCTGTCAAATAAATAAATAAATAAAATCTTAAAAAAAAAAAAAAGAATATAAAAAGGACAACAAAGATCCCTCCAACTCTTAGTATCCGGAGATAACATTATTTATATTTTGGAGACCATTATTCCAAGGTTTGTTCATTTTCTTTTTTTCTTTTTAAAGATTTTATTTATTTATTTGAGAGAGAGAATGACAGAGAGAGAGCACATGAGAGGGGGGAGGATCAGAGGGAGAAGCAGACCCCTTGCTAAGGAAGGAGCCCGATATGGGACTCGATCCCGGGACTCCAGGATCATGACCTGAGCCGAAGGCAGTCGCCTAACCAACTGAGCCACCCAGGCGCCCTTCTTTTTTTTTTTAATACAGTTTTGTCTGTATCTTTTTTACCTCCTTCCTTCCGTCTATCACATTTTACATAGATAATATGATGTTAAATGTGATGCTTTACATCTTTTTTCCCACTCAACAATATGATATGGACATCATTTTATGTCAGTTAATACAGATATTCATTCTCTTTTCCATGGTTACAATTGCATTGTGGATTATTGCAATGTAGACACAAGGATTTAACCAGCCTCTTATTGATAGACATTTTTGGTGGTTTTCGAATGTTATGCTTTTATAAAGAAATCAAGCATTGAAAATCCTTGAAATAATTACTTACTCAACGTTTACTATATGCCATGCATCATTCTAAATACTTTAAATATAATAGCTAATGTAACTGACAAAACAACCCTATGACATAGGTAATATTATCATCACTATTTTGCAGAGAAAGAAAGTGAAGCATAGAAAACTGAAGGAACTTGTCAAGTTCACAAGCCAGGAAATGGAGAAGCTGGCATTTGAACCTTGGCAATCTAGATCCAGAGTATGTATTCTCAACTACTGTACATACTGTCATATTTTTATTATTTTGGAATTCCTGCTTGATTATCTCCTTAGGATAACTTCCCAGAATTGAGATTTCTGATACAAAGGATATACACATTTTAAATCTAACACAAGTTGCCAAATTCCCCCTCCAAAAGGTTTTATGGTGTCAATATTTACACAGTGCTTTATGTAAGTTTTACATGGCATTAGAGGGCAAGATAGAAAATTTGGGGGCCATTGGACATAGATTTGAATCTGCTGTATTAATTACTGGGCAAGTTACTTACTTTCTATAAGCTCCAGTTTCTTCACCTGTAAAATCAGGATAGCTATACCTACTTTACAAGGATGTAATGCAGACTACAGATAATGTATATAAAAATTGTCTAGAATCCTTCAGATATAGAAAGGAATCCCTCAATATTCATGGTGGTTATTGCTACTTAAGTTAATACAAATTACTCTTGATTCATATACCTACCTTTTATTGGGCCGGCAGGTTTTATTGCTATAGCTTCAATTTTAATGTTCTGTTTGTAAATATAATTTCTGTACTACGTAGTATGCAGGGCTCCTAGTAACATATTTAACAATGCAATCTTATTTCTCCACATGGAACCACTATATTTTCTTTTTAGATTGACGTATTTAGTTCCTTCTCAGTGGTATGAAACAAGTACTAAATACATTGTCTGCCAACCAAAAAGGCATCTATGAATTGCTTTCTTAAATTTAAGAAAAAAAATCCAAAATGATACAGTGATTACCATGGAGGAAGGGTATTTGGAGACCACAGGTTGGGCATGAGGAGAGCCACTTATTTTTCATACGTACATCTGCGACAGAGACAATCACCACAGAGTCCTTCTCTTCTGAAGGTGTCATCCTGGAGACAAGAGAATTCAGTGTTTGCTTCAGGTAACTTTGATTTCCTCTGTTAACAGTGGAAATGCCCAGTGCAAAAGAGACTGCAGACAAAGGAGCATGGAATCATCATTTCAAACCACAGAGAAAAACATAATTTATCATTAATATCTATGCTTATTACTGTGTTTGGGTTAGTCGTATGGTCATAAAGAATGTCCGAAACTATATTACAAAAATTATCCAAACTACTCTTAATTTTTATCACAAAGTTCATTTTCTGCCTGAGCAAATTCCAATTTGCAGTGGATTGTTAGTAAATGCATTAAGTAGACTCCAAGATGTTCTCATGTTGGAGGGTTTCAGTGTAGTAAAAGATAAAACTAACCACTCTCCATTTATTTTAGCTTTTACCTAACTTGGGTACAAAATGTCACACATAGGCGGATTCTCTACTTCTCTTCCTAAGGAAATGCTGGAACCCAAAACAGGAAAAATACCATGAAATATTTTCATCTGTGAAAAAAAAAATGTATGAAGTAATTTTCAAGTGATTTAATGGAATGAATCCATGCCCCTAAGTTACTTGTATTGACCGCTATTGACTGGAACACTGGGAGAACGGATCTCATGTCATCCAAATAGATAACTAAAATTATATCAGTAAAGTCTGCCCAAACTCAACACCAGTGCCTGGGCATATGAACTTGGGCAAGATACACAGCCTCTCCAGCCTCAATGTCCCCACCTTCAAGATGGGGATAAGGACTTTTAGAATGGCTAAGTAAGGAACTCAGAAAATCCTCTCCCTAAAAAAGCAACAATAAAACTAGAAAAAAATTGTCAAAACAATCAGGGCCCTGGATATACAACAAACTGAGAAGCATTTATGTAACAAAAAAATTACTGAACTTTGGTGAGAACAGTAAGAATTAGTATTTCCCTGATTACTATTGAGTTCGAACATACTTTCATATGTTTATTGGTCTTTGGACATTCTTCTGTGAAATCCCTGTTTAAGTTCTTACCCATTTCTCTGAGTTTTCTGGATTTTTCTTATTTATTAATGCTCTTTATAGATTCTGAATATGAATGCTTTGTCATTTATGTGTATTACAAGTATCATCTCCCACTCTGGGTTCCCTTTCAATGTTTTACCTCTTGATGAACAGAAATTCTCAATTTTAATATAGTACAATTTATCCATCTCTTCCTTTACATAAAGTTAGTGCTTTTTTGATTCCTGTTAAGAAATCCTTATCTTCAAGTCATAAAGATATTCTCCTGAATATCTTCTCGATGGTTTGTCTGCCTTTTATAGTTAGAGCTACAGTCCACCTGGAATTGATTTTTATGGATGGTGTAAGGCAGGAATCAAGTTTCAAACTTTGGGTTTTGTTGTTTTTGTTTTTGGGTGATTTTTTTTGTTGTTGTTACCATGTTGAACTTTTTATTTTAAAATTATATTCTGAGTGGATTTTTAAATTTTTTTTATTATTCAAACTTTGGGATCCACTCTAAAATGCAATTCCCAAAATGACTCCCAATGCCTTCGGGTAAGGAACACATTTACAAACATTTACAAGACCTTTAATGACCTGGTCCCGACCTTCCTCTTCCGTTCCAACTATCCTCTCTTTAAACCAGTCTCACTTAACATCGCTCAGCTTCTCAGAATGACCAAATAGAGGACACTCTCATCTCCAGGCTTTTGCACATGCCATCCTTTCTTTGCCTAGAATACTCTTCTTCAGGTTCCTTGTGCTAATTCTACACTTTCTTTCTAAAGTAGGTTGGGTGTACCAGCTATATATTCTGACTTCATCTCACATAGTACTTATCATTCTATTTGTTATTAGAATACATAATAATGGCAATAAATTTGGGATGAATAAGTGAATGGCCAAGTCCCTTTATTATTTGGGCTCTGCCCCATGTCATACTGACAATAACTTCCAGCCCCAATTGTGCACACACGCCCCACTTTTTGTCCAGGCCCTCTTGCTGTTAGACCCTTCCTATTTCTTTTTCTCTACCTGGATGAACATCCTCTACTTTTCCACTATCCATCACCTGCTTTTTCCCTATTTAGTCTATTCCAATTCTGTTCACACCTCATGACTCAGGTGAATGTCACTTTGTCCAGAAAGTCTTCCCTAATTCCCCAAGTATGGATTACTTGCTCCACCTTGTATTTCCCTTGTCACAGCACTAGTTACCCTATATACTGTAATTGCCTTCTCACGTGTCTGTAGGAGGATGAGGGTCTTGTCTTATCCACCACTATTCCCCTGGTAGAAGCTAGTTCCTTGAGAACATGGAGGACTGCACAAAGAAGTTGTCAGTTAAGCTGAAAAGTCATAATGGGGAAGGGACTTACATGACAAGTTAGTTGTGGTCGACAGGAGGTGGTGGGTTCATTGCAGGCAGTGATCAGCATGTGCTAATCACTTGGCTTATTCACAGGGACTGCAAGTGTTTTGGGGTTGCTGGAAAGGAGGGGAAGTGGCAAAAATTGATTTGAAAAATAGTCTATTGTGCATACACCATGTCAAGGAGCTAGCTTCATCCTATATGTACTGAGGACCCACTAAAGGATTTTAAGCAAGAGTTGAGCATGATGTTATGCATTTTAGTACATAGCTCTGAGGAGGGTATGAAGAATGGATTGACTAGTCAATTTACAAGTCTATTTCAATACACTGGGCAAGAAATGAAAGCTGAAAGAATAGTTATAGAGGGTAGAGAGCAGAAATTATTTGAAATATACTCAGAATATAGAACAAATAAGACTGATGACAGATTCCCCAGTAGGCCTTGCTATAGGCTTCAGTGCTTTTACAAATGTTTTATGTGCTATGATCTTTTAGTTACCAGGAAAAAAAAAATCTTTTCAATTACTTCTGGTAATGAAGGTTTATAGGCAAACTGGTCCTCCCAAGGACCAATGAAAATCCACCAAACGGCTCAAAAGGAGGATCAATATATACAGCATGGGTGGAAATCAGGAAAATAGTTGGGGAATTAGAAAATTATTCAAGATCTAACACAGTTCTATATGGTGCCTGGGTGGCTCAGTCGTTAAGCGTCTGCCTTCGGCTCAGGTTGCGATCCCAGGGTCCTGGGATCGAGCCCCACATCAGACTCCCTGCTCAGCCGGAAGCCTGCTTCTCGCTCTTCCCCTCCCCCTGCTGTGTTCCCTCTCTTGCTGTGTCTCTCTCTGTCAAATAAATAAATAAAATCTTTAAAAAAGAAAAAAAAAGATTTAACACAGTTCTGCTAACTGGGTTACCTCAACACCTCAAAACCCCAAAAAGAGTTCTGTTGTTCTTCCCAATTACAAACATCTCTCCCTCCTTCCTTTCACTCTCTGGCATGGGCTTCTGCTTATCTTTGCTGATGTTTATTTAAGGCTATGCTGATTCTTGGTATCTACTATTTTATAGTTTCTACATACTGGGTTTTTTTTTTTCTATGTCTTTCATCTCCTCCTCCTGTTACCTATAGCTTTGGGGGAGCACACACTTTCTCATATATTCACACACATTATGCACGTCTATGTACATACACATGCCATATTCAAAATACTCCTAAGAGGGAATCTGATGCAGTTTAAGACTCAAGTGCAATCTCAAGAAGTAGTTTAATATCTCTAAACCTCAGTTTTCTTTTTTTTTTTTTTAAAAATTTTTTTATTATTTTGACAGAGAGAGACACCGAGAGAGGGAACACAAGCAGGGGGAGTGGGAGAGGGAGAAGCAGGCTTCCCGCCGAGCAGGGAGCCCGATGCGGGGCTCGATCCCAGGACCCTGGGATCATGACCTGAGCCGAAGGCAGACGCTTAACGACTGAGCCACCCAGGCGCCCCTAAACCTCAATTTTCTTAGGTGTAAATTAGAGATAATCATAGGTCCTACTGTACTGGGTTGTGAGGGTCAAATGAGACAATGAGAGAAAACATTAAAAAAAAAAAGAAGAAGGAAGGAAAGCACAGCAACTCAGTATATGGAACACAGTGAGAACTCAGATGTTAAACAATGCCACTGGCATCCCCATCCCAACTCAGCAGGCTTGGCAGAGGCATGTGCTACGGAACACTACTTATTCCCAAGGAACCATGTAGATCAGAGATCAGGAAGCTATTTCTGTAAAGGACTAGGTAGTAAATAGACATTTTTGTCTCTCGGGCCATACAGTCTCTGTTGCAACTACTCAACTCTGTCGCTGTAGCATGAGAACAGCCTCAGACAAGTAACAATGAGCACTGACTAGGCTCCAACAAAATCTTATTGTAAAGTAGCAGCTTTGGCCTGTGGGCTGTAGTTGGCTGCCGCTGGCCTGGGGTGACTCAGAATAAACAAGGTCTGTGAGAATGGCAAGCATTTGGAGACTCGCCCTAAAATCCCTAACTTAAATGCTTTCTCTCTTCTTTAATACCTGCTGAAGTTAAATTCATTATTTAAGGATTAGCTGAAACATCACCTCTTCTGTAAAGCTTTCACTGACCTTTGTCCCCAAAAAGATGGGGAAATAGGAAGATAACCAGATAAGAATGAACTGATCAAAACCAAGGGAGACAAGAGTTGCCAGGTACTTAGCAGATGCTTAATATAAGTCAAATGTATATGTGACTTATAATAACCTACTTTTAAAACATCTGTATTCAAGTTGAATTTGAATTCAAGTCTCTAAATATCTATTCAACTATTTTCTTCTGCCAAGTCATATAATTTCTGGCAGTCCAAATTAATGCCCCATAAGCTGGTGGTCTATGTATCGGAGTATTACATTAATGGATTACATATTAAAACTTAAAAGCAATATAATAATAATTAGAGAAGCATCCAAAAAAACTTAAGAGGCTCCTGGCTGGCTCAGTCGGTAGAGCATGCAACTCTTGATCTCAGGATTCTCAGTTCAAGCCCCACATTGGGCATTGAGCCTACTTAAACAAACAAACAAACAAACAAACAACAACAAAACTTAAAAACATGTCCTCAAAGATCAAAATATCTATATTTGATTTTCTAATTCTAAATTTGCTTACCACCTGTTTTCTCTTTTCCAATGATTACATCAGGATAAATTCTGTCTACTTTCCTTAGATGAGGAAAAAAGAACTTTAGGATTTCAAATGTATTAGATGCTGTTTCATTCTTACCCAATGTATTCATTTTCTTCTCAGCTAAAAGAGAGAAAAAAGAGGGTTGCTAAGTGCATGACCATAGGGATTTTTCTCTCTTTGGTACAATTTTTCATAATGAGATTAACAGATTTAGTGTTCAATATATAAGAGAAATACAATTAAATGTGAACTATTAAAATCATATGGCTACAAAATATAGTTCAAATATTATTGATTCATATTTATTTTAAAAATAATATTTAAGTCTAGCACTATGAGCTACATAACCAGAGACTAACAGAACTGTCAGTTCTAAATGAAGTATAACTGAAACATGCTATAATTGATCTGATCTGCTATTTTGATTAATATCACATTAATGTTGGTATCTCTATAACTTTGTTTTGTAGCTCAACATTTAATGATTCTACTTTTACCATTCATTTGAATATACCTCTACAATTTTGAAAAAGAAGAACAAAATTAGAAAACTCACACCCTATATAATTCATAATATATAATATGGTAATCAAGACAGTGTGGTATTACATTAAAAAAAGATACACAGACCGATGGAACAGAATAGAGAATCCAGAAATAGATCCACATAAATATCAACTGATTTTTGGAAAAGGTGCAAAGGCAATTCAATGCAGAAAGGACAGTCTTTTTGACAAAGAATACTTGGAATACTTAGACGTTCACATGAAAAAGACTGAATCTTGACCTGTACTTCACACCATATACAAAAACCAACTCAAAAGTTTCAGAGACCCAAATGTAAAACCTAAACTATAAAATTCAAAGCACACACATAAAAGAAAATCTTCATGACCCTGAGGGAGGTAAAGAGTTCTTAAAGGTAATATCAAAAACATTATATAAAAAGAAAAATTGATAAATTGAACTTCACAATTAAAAGTGTTTGGTTTCTGAAGGACACCATAAGGAGAATGAAAAGACTAGCCAAGATTGGGAGAAGACATTTCCAAATCACGTATCTGTCTGATATGTATTCAGGATATATATACATATATATAAATATATATACCTTATAGAAAATTTTTTTCATACAAAAAACCTGTATATGAATGTTTACAGTAACGTGTACTTGTAATTGCCAAAAAAATGAAAACAACCTAAATGTCCTTCGATTGGTAAAAGGATAAACAAACTGTATCCACTGTATATCCCTATAATCAGAGGCTACTCAGCAATATAAAGTCAACAAAAATTTGGTCACATAACTTCCATTTATCTTTGTTAAGTGAAAGAAGTCAGTCTCCAAGGATTACACACTGTATGATTCCCTCTGAATGGCATTCTGAATGGCATTCTTAGAGAAAACTCTAAGAACAGAGAACTGATTAGTGGTTGCAGGGTATTAAGAGTAAGGACTACCTGACTACAAAAGGGGAAACGGAGGCAGGACTTTTTATCCTGGAGAAATGGGAGCCACTGCAGCATGATACACAGGATTTGAGCCTTCACTTTGGCTACAGTGGAAATAGATAGACGGGGACAAGTCTGGAGAGAGAGAAAAAACAGAGAAGAATGTTAGCAGTCATTCAGACGAGGGATGAAGGCAGCCTGACTAGAGCAGCAGAGATGGTGATGGGAAAATGTGGACAGATTTGTGAGATACATAGGATTGTGAATCAACAGGTTTGCTTATTGACTGAAATGGGAATATGCAAGAGGAGGCGGGGTGGGGGAGTCAGAGTGACACTCAGGGTTCTGGCCCGTCTAGCGGATGGGTCACGATGGTGGTGCAAGTCACACAGAAAACACAGGAAGACCATTTCTGAGCTACAGAGGAGAGGAAGTGTATCAGTGATATCTCTTACCTGATTTTTGTATGTCTCACAATAAAAGAACAAGTAACTAATTTAGTTATATTTGTTGGGGAGAAGTGTCCTCAAATCACAAAGCACAAAATCTAAATTCCCAAACACAAAACACAAGACCAACAAACCAACCACCACCCACAAAAACAAAAGCAACACAAACCTAAGTTTATGGACATATTTTTTCTCTGTGTCATTTCATACTTCATTTTACTCAAGGCTTTGATCAGCTCTTGGCGATTTCTTTCAGTTTTGTTTTTTAAATGTAGCATTTTTTCCTTAAACTCCAAAATATGGTTTCTGCAATTAATTAATTGATTACCTGCAAGGAAAACATATGTGTATATATTTATATATGTAGCAACAGTATCATAAAATTTTCTATAATATATAACGAAAAAATAAAATATATGCTTCAACATAGCTGTAACACTATGGGTGTATATATACATGTACATAGTTTATATATATATGTATATACAATACACATAAGAGGCTGGAGAAAGAGTGAGATGTTAAAACAGTACTATCTGGAAGGCGGAATTATTATAAACGGTTTTTGCTTTACTTTGTGCTTTTCTGTATTTTCCAAATTTTCCATTTTGTGCACATATTAGATTTGTAATTAGAGGGAAAAACCAATTGAGACAAAAAATTCACTTTTAAGAATTTATCTGAAGAAAATAACCAGAACTATATACACAGATTTGGCTCTAAGGATGTATAACACAGGCAGCAGCGTTATTAATCATTATAAGAAAATCAGAAACAGCCTAAATGCTCAACAATGGACATATGCTAAATAAATTACAGAATATCCTTTTAAAAGTTACAGTGGCTCAGGTGTTAAATCATGTATAACTGAATCCCAGTTTCATCACTTAATACTTGTGTGATCTTGGACACGCTATTTTATGTTTGTTAACCTCTGTTCCTTCATGTATAAATGGATATCCAAAAATCCCTGCCCCAGAGTTGGGAAGAAGTGATATCACTAATGCACAGAAGCCATGTGGCAAAGCACATGAAAAAAAACGCTTTGACAAATATCTGACAAATATTATTTATCAATGGGCTACATTTTATTCATTCGCCAATGTAATACTATACAGCTATGAAAATCATCTTATAGAATAATGTTGTAAAAACAATTGCTTTTTAAAAACAAAACTATGTATAAAATCATTTCTTTTTTGTAAAACAACACATATACAGATAGTTTCATGTGAGAGATGATAAAAGAATAAACTAGGGAAGAAAGGATTAGGAAATAGGAGTAATATGAAAAACATCTAAGAGCTTTTATTGAAAAGACTTTGAACTGACTGAGAGAGATTAGAATCCCTACTAGGTTTCTGACATGACTACAGATTTCTTCAGTCTGAATTGGGAAAACAGGAAAAGGAGCCGTGATGATGCTTATGAGGCATCTACGTATGTGGCAAACATTTGGCTCTACGACTCTGAAGTTCAAGGGAGAGATTAGGGCTGGTGTTACAGATTTGAGAGCAAAAGTGAGATTGACTTATAACATGGAGTAAGAAAATGTAAGGATAAAAACTCTCCCAGTCTCATTTCCTGTTGTGTCCTTCCCTCCCTGCCTTGGCTCACACTAGCCTTAGCCTTGGGCGGAGGGTTCAGAATCTGAAGTCCAGCAGGTGCCTAAGTGGTTCCCAGAGGTCTTGAATCCCTGGCCATGGGCAGACTCGGCACCCCCTGACAGCACTGTACATCCACCTTGCTGGTTTCCATTCACCTTTCAGATAGGCCAGCCTGGAACAAAACTTATGTCTTGCCTGAGCTACCCTACTGAGGACAGGAAGCAACCAATAAACTGTAATATCCTGATATTTCTCTCCCAAGCCTCAATGGATCATCCACCCCAAGATACAACAGAGGAAATTAAACCTGCTGTTTCACTGCTCTCTAACAAGACACGTCTCTCCCGCTTGGGTTGGAGGGGGCCCCACTTCTCCAGTCCTCACTCAGTGGCCAGCTCCATCTCTAGGGTCTCTCACAACACCTCTCCATCTCCAGTTCTGTGTCACTGAATCTCTCAAATGGAACAATTGCATATTATATGGAGTATCCTGCCAACAGGGACTCCCATCCATGGGGTACACACACAAACACATAGATTCAGGTTTTATGCATAGTTGGGCTTGCTGAAACAGGGCAGTGGAGGTTTAGGGAAAGACCCAACTGGCTGACTAACCATTACAGAGAATCCTATAATTATGAAGACTTCTTGCAGTCTTTCGCAGTGAGCCTTGTGCCCCATCCCTGCACAAGTCCCTAGCCTGTTATGATACAACCAGCAGAACTCAAGGCTCTACATGTCTAGTCTTCACTAGCGAGTGGCTGGTGGCACAAGATATACAATTTCCTCCCTCAATCCACCTCCAGGGAAAGGCCAGACAAGAGTGAATGACAAATGACAAGAGTGAAAAGGCACTGCTGGATCCAAGCCACAATTTAATCTGTACATATACATCACTCAGTAAGGAAAAGATGGAGGACTTGCTGCTCTGAACTATTTTTTTCTCAGCAGCCTCTTGAAGGCCTCCTAATCTGGGCCCCAGAATCAACCCAGCTGAAGCAATGGTTCGTCTCCCTGGTTGGCAATTTGTGTTGGTCATCACTGCCCTCACAGTGCAATACTAGGAATTTTGCATATCTCTACAGATGGAAATATATGGCTACAGCAGAGAGATCAACCATTTGGTCTCAGTAGAGAGGGGGATGCCAAGAGTAAAAGCAATTTTCTGTTCCTTCCTGAAACACTGTGACAGAGAGTTCAGAAGTCACATATACAATTCCAAGCAAAGCCTGAGTTTTTCTTTGGGAAGGGATGCTCTTCTCAGGGCCTTCTATATCTCACCAACCAGAACAGTTGCCTGGCCATGCAATTCATTCCCTCGTTCAACAAATACTTACTAAACTAAATACTGTTACATGTCCTGGGGATATGACAATGTACAAAACAGAACTCCTGGCCCCCTTGGAACTTACATCCTACTGAATGGAAAAAACAAGAAATAAGTGAATCATATGTTTATGAGTACCAAAAAAATATAAAGCAGGGAAAAAGGATACAGAGTGTTGATGGTGGGGGGAGGTTTTAACTGTAAACAGGGTGATCAGAGAAGGCTTGAGGAGATAACGTGTGAGCACAGACAAGAAAAAAGCAAATGAAGGAATGCTGCAGGTAACTCTAGTACAGAGAGAAGAGCATGTGCAAAAGCCCTGAGGCAGGAGGGTGCCCATTATCTCCAGAAACAGCATGGAGACTGTGTGGCTGAAGCAAAATGAATGACAGGAAGAGTTGTAGGTGATGAAATTACAAAGCCACCTTTCTAAGTACTTTAGATTTACTTTAAGCAAACTGGGGAGCCAACAGAAGTCTATATGCAGAGAGTCACAAAATCCAACTTACAAGAACAGGATCCTTCTATCTGCTGTGTGAACAACAGAGTTGGGGAAACTAAGACTGAAGAAGGGCGATCAGGAAAGACGTCTGTGGCTTAGAAAAGATTGTTGGTGGGTAAGTGCTGAGGAATGGTTTAATTCTGGATATAGTCTGAAGATAAAGAAGATAGGATTTGCTGACATCAAATGTGAGATATGAAAAAAAAAAAGGAGGCAATGATATTCTGAGCAACTAGAAGAAAGGAGTGGCCATTTACTAAGATGGAGAAGATGAAGGGAGCAAGTTTTGGTGTGAAAACTAGGAGTCTGTCTGGTTTGAGACATGTTAGATTTGAGATGCTTATCACACATCTCAGTAGGCAGCTCCATGTGTGGGTCTGGCGGGAGAACTGGCCTGGCCTGGCCACAGACATTTAGAGAGACCTGTGGTAAGAAGCAGGAGATCATTAGGAGAATGAGGATGAGCAGAGAAGAGATGAGGCCCAAGGACTAAATTCTGGGGCACCCCAAGTTATAAGTTGAACACATGAGAAGTCAGTAACAAAGCTAAGACAGATTAGCTGGTAAGGCAGGAGGAAACTCGAGTGTGTGTCAAGACCTTGGAAACCAAGTGAGAAAAATGTGTCAAGGAGATGAAAGTCATCAACTGTCAAGTGCTGTTGAATAGGGCAAGGAGGATGAGGACAGGGTGGGAGCTGCGAGACAGCGGTGTGCAGTCCCCAGCAAGGTAAAAGCCTAGCTGGAGCTGGTTCAGGAGAAAGCAGGACCAGTGGGCTTAGAGACAGGGCAGGGGGACAACTTTTTTTGGGGGGGGGGGGGGAAGGGGCACAGGGAGAGGGAGAGAGAGAGAATCCCAAGCAGACTCCATACCCAGCGCAGAGCCTGATGTGGAGCTCGATCTCATGACCCTGAGATCATGACCTGAGCCGAAACCAAGAGCTTAACCAACTGAGCCACCAAGGCGCCCTGAGTGATTTTTAAACTGAACTGTGCTTTAATCAAAAGAACTGCAACTATCCCAGATAAATCTTGAATATTCATAAAAAGGATACTATTTAAAGATGTCGACAAACTTTAGAAGTAGACATAGTTTAACCAATATAACCCTATGTTATTGGGGTTCCTGGGGTAATATTCTCTCTGCAAACTGAATCATGTGTTTGAAGTTGATATATCATGGGTGATGCAACATAGCTAAGCTTCCACAATGTTAAGTCAGTCCCTGAGGGATCAGTTTGGTAAACAAGAAAACAAAGAGTTTTCTCTACAGGAAGTAGTATTTGCAGAAAACAACCATGCAAAAGAGTTAAAGGATATATTCCCTAGTCTTACATCTGCTTCTTATACAATTTTACTTGATAATTCTATTTAACAATATTCTATTTAAAATATTTACACTACTTTCATATTCACTCAGGTATTTTGTGAGTGTGAGATGTTATAAAACTATGTTTCAAAGGTCTGAAATAAACAATAATTTGATGTTTTGAATCAAGTGTGGTGAAATTGTGAAAACAAACACCAGTCCATGTGTGCAATGGGCCAATGTGACTTCCGCCCATAAGAAAGGGGCCAGGTGAGATCCTAAGTACCAGTGACCTTTGTTTCTCACAGCAAGAGTCCAAGGCACTGCTATCCAGCAGAAATAAAATGTAAGATACCTTTGTAATTTTGAATTTTCTAGTAGCCACATTTAAAAAAAGTAAAAAGAAACAAGTAATTGTAAAGAATATATTTAATGTGGGGCACCTGGGTGGCTCAGTTGGTTAAGCGACTGCCTTCGGCTCAGGTCATGATCCTGGAG